GCTGACTATGTCCTCTACTTCCTGTCTCAGCATGCCTGTGCGCTGACTATGTCCTCTACTTCCTGTCTTAGCATGCCTGTGTGCTGACTATGTCCTCTACTTCCTGTCTCAGCATGCCTGTGTGCTGACTATGTCCTCTACTTCCTTGCAGTGTTGACCTGATTTTGGAGTGTTCCGGCACAATCTTGGGGGCATTTAAAACATGGTAACATGCCCATTGCAAACAGGGATGGATGGACCTCTTCCTTTCCTGTTTCTTCCTCCTGTCCTGCTGCTGCGGCCAAGTCTTGAGCTCTGTACTGAAAAAGTTTCTCATTCCTGGATTTGAAGAAAATGGTTTAATTTTCCAGCATCTAGTGTAAGGTGACATTTGCGGTATGGCCTTGGCCTTTTTAACCCAGGAATATGACACTAACAAACATCCTAGTGTTGAACTGTCCTTGAAACCTTAACAGACCCCTTTGTTCATGTATGGTGGCATTTAATGCACTGAATGGCTAACTTGACATTTTGTTCAGCCCCTTTATGCATCTTGTATAAACTATTGTATTGGTGGTTTTGTGTGTCAACGTGACATGAGCTAAAGGCATCAGAGGAAGGAGCCTCAGAGGGAATGCCTCCTTGAGATCCAGCTGTAAGGCATTTCTCATTTAGTTATCAGTGGAAAGGGCCCAGGCCATGGTGGGTGGTGCCATCCCTGGGCTGGTGTCCTGGGCTGTATAAGAAAGTGGGCTGAACAAGCCATGGGGACCAAGGCAGTAAACGGCTCCCCTCCAGGGCCTCTGCATCAGCTCCTGCTTTCTGGGATCCTACCCTGTTTGAGTTCCTGTCCTGACTTCCTCAGTGATGAACAGCAATGCTGAAGTCTAAGTCAAAAGAACCCTTTCCTCCCCAGCTTGCTTTGGTCATGGTGTTTCCTCACAGCAACAGAAACCGTAAGACAACCATCCTTAATTTGGGGCTCTCCTAGCCACAGAAAACCTATTCCTAAGACATCTGTTTTGCTATTAGGGTCCTGCTTGACTCACCAAATCAATTAGATGTTCCATCATGTTGTAGGACTTGTAACGGTTTAAACAGCAAGGAACTGTTAGGTCCTTCAAGGTTGGACAGACACTATGAACTCCCTGGACTGACGTTCTTAGAGCTGTTCCTTTTGACTCTTCAAAGGGATTTACTCAGGCTGTCTGCCTTTCCTACACTCCTCTGCATTTCACTGAAGCTCATAAACTTAACAGAGAACGTACATGTTATAATTTTTAACAGTGGTTGTACTTGTGAATACGTGTACACATGTGGGGTTGCACCTGAGCCATGATGGAGGTGAGCAGGTCAGAGGACATTCTGCACAGTTGGTCCTGGGGAGCCAGCATCGGTTATCAGCCTGTCAGCGGGTACCTCCCACTGAACCATCTTATCTGCGGTTCAGAGCAACATCTGCATTAGGATCGTCTTCATCTCAGATTGTCCCTGAGAACTATGCATTTGCCCTCTTACTTTGTGTTTCGTTAAAGATATGCTAAACAAAATTGTTTTTTATTTTTCGAGACAGGATTTCTCTGTAGAGTCCTGGCTGTCCTGGAACTCACTCTGGCGACCTCAAGCTTCCAGCGATCGCCTGCCTCTGCCTCCCGAGTGCTGGGGTTACAGGTGTGGCCACCACGCCCGACTGAGGCAGGCTTTTTAAAGAACGGCTATGAAGAAAATACTGGAAATTCTGTTATTTTTACATTTTGTCAAGTCTTTCCCACTTAGTTTTGTTTTTCTAGATATTGATCGTCCAGCTTACTAGTTTTCATTCTTATGATGTAATAATAATGGCAATGTGGCTACGCATTTTCCTCTGGTGGCAGCACTGGCCTCGCCCGCTTTCGTGCTCTAAAATGTACAAGTAGGTACATTTATTTTTAGTTCGGTTAGTAATTTCTAGTTTTATTGCACTATAGAATGCAGTTTGGGCAGTTCCTACTAAAATTTTGAGATTCGTGTAGCAGGCCTCTAACAGACTTTTACAAAATGGCCACGGATTTAAAGTATATGTATTTGCCATAAGGTACAAAGGAATGTGAGGTTTTCTTTCTTTCTTTTTTTTTAATATTTATTTATTTATTATGTATTCAATATTCTGTCTGCGTGTATGTCTGCAGGCCAGAAGAGGGCACCAGACCCCATTACAGATGGTTGTGAGCCACCATGTGGTTGCTGGGAATTGAACTCAGGACCTTTGGAAGAGCAGGCAATGCTCTTAACCTCTGAGCCATCTCTCCAGCCCGGAATGTGAGGTTTTCAATTTCACGTTTGAATTTGGATTTTCTAAACACACACTGCTGGAAACTGTTTTAAAAAGAGGAGGATGTTTGATGTCAGGCTTGCTTGCTCTGCTCTTTCCACCATTCCCCAGCTGCTGTAGTTCTCCTTCGCTCATGCACTGTGCACAGGAACTATAGCTACTCCCATTCTCTGAGGTCGCCCCTGGGGCTGCTCCTCTGCACACACATGTTCGGTGCTGCTGTGAATGCTGACCCCGGGCCTTGAGGACTCAGGCGGGGTCTGGTCTTTGACCCTGGAGATGGGAAGGCAGCACTTCCCCTCTAATGGACATCCGCTGTAATCCTTCCCTGTAGTTGTTCCTCTGGAGCTGCCTTCTCCAGAGCCCTTCACCTGGGGCCTGCAACTCAGCAAGATACTGATTAAGGGAACCAAACCCAGGCATCCCCAAGAAATGACAGCTGATGCGGATCACAGACAACCCAACGGTGTAGAGGCCAAGTAGGTGCTCCCCAAAATCAGGTAACATCCTGCAGACACAGGTACAAAAGGTGGATTTTTTTTTTTTTTTTTTTTGGTATGTTATACGCAAGATATCGTAACTCCCTGGGCTTGGGGTAAAAACACTCGTCAGACCCCTGCTGATGGAGATGGTGCCACAGCATTCCTGACACACACTGAGGCAGCTGCATCTGGAGTCCTCCATCGCTGGGTCCTGCCTTCCTTGATACTCTCATCGGGCTGCATCACGTGTGACTGCCTTCAACAGCTTTGCTTCCTCACGGTGGCCACCCTTGTGTTTCTCAGGGAACCTTCTAGCCACTCTGGTAGCCAGGGCAGAGGAGACCCTGCCCTAGGAGACTTTCTCAGACCACAGAACACTTAGATGGAAAGACCTTGCTTTCACTGTGTTTCCATAGCTGGCTGCTCTGCTTGTCCCCATCTTTGCCTAGAATCCCCACACAAGCGAACTGCCATAAATCTTACCATGAAACAGTTTGGCATAAAAATGTACTGTGTCTTTCTGAAAGCCAACTGGGAATTATGAAGAGCGGTGTCAGTACCATTCATGATTCCCAAGAACAGAGCTGCGGTCTCACCACAGCGATGACTACACCGTAATCATGGCGGGGCAATGCTGAGCTCGTCACCAACACTAGTGTAGCCTGAGCAAGTCACTGCTTCCTGCACAGCTGTGGAGTGGGGTAAAACTCCCTCAGGAAGCTGCTGGGACGGAAGCATGCTGGCGTGCTAGTATTTCTGTCACACCTGAAGGAAGTCAGAGCCAATGTAGGATTCAGCTTGGACTTCCTGTTCACACCATCAGTATCTTCATCCCTAAAGGTGATCAGCTTGGCTTGTCTTCATTTGGATGGAGTTGCTCAAAACAGGCAGTTAGACTGCTTGGCTCTTAACACCTGGTGATGCAGCAAATGATGTGATGGGCAAAATGAACAAGCAAGAGCAAGAGCTGTCGCTGCCTCAGTGACACGGAAATGAAGCAAGAAAGCAGTGAAGCTTGTTCTCAGCTCGCATCCACAGCTGGGACATACCACGTGAAACGTCGGCGTGCCAGCTGTCCAGTGTGAAAGGCCTTGGCCCTGATGAGCCCCTTCTGTACACTCGAGGCCCTTAGAGAACACCACCACAGTGCCTAGCCAAGAGCGCACAGCCAGCGACATACAAGGGTAGAGGAGCGATGCCATCATTACAAAATATTCCAGGTGCCAAGTGAATCCAGCTCATTGGAAACTCAGCTCCTTGATACCAGCAGTGGCAATGTGGTGGTACCCCCACTTTGGTGAAGGGTCACCAGAAATGCTGAGGTGCATTGGCAATGGCAGGGTGGTTTAGAGTGTTACACAAGTAACACTTCCAACTCAACTTGTGCTGCTCTGGCAAGGCCTGGGAAATGCGTGGCAGCATGCTGGCCTGGATCAGCCCCACCTAAACAGCCAAATATTGCAAAATAATTCAGTGTTTTAGGTTCTCCTCCCTTCATCTCCATCCCCTTCCCCTTCCCACTCTTGGTCTACTTGGAGAATCTAGCAACCTTGAGCCCTGGGCACCCTCTCCTCTAGCCAGTAAGCTGCTGTCTGAATCAGGCAGATATGTCAGGTTTGGTTACTAACATAATGGAGACTCAGATCCCAAAGTGGGAGGAAGTGGCCGGCCTTAGGACTACAGCTGAACTGCTCATGACCGAATGCAATCCTAAGAGGGAGTAGGGCAGCTGGTAACACTTCAGGAATAATTACTGCGGAGCATGCTCAGCATATTTCTAAAGCTTACTAAAGAAATTACACAACAATATACACTCCACAATGCTTTTAAAATTGTTTAGCATCTTTATTCGTTAAGAAATTATGTCACTGAAGATGACCCCTTGTAAACTAACCAGGAAGCATAGCCTCCGTTTTCTGGTTGCTTGATTGTTTGAATATGTCCAGGATAGGTAAGTATTATGATATAAGCATAAAAAATTGATAAATCAAAAATACATTGTCTGGGAACCCACTGTCAGGCGACTGGGCTAAGTCTCCTCAGTTTCCCATCAGTTGTCATAGTACAGTGGCCGTGCAGGAGGCTGTCGCTCAGGGCCTGCTTTCCTAGGCCTGCCCCTGGAAGCTGTGAAGGCAGGGCAGCCCATGTGCAGAAGGCCACCAGAGCAGCAGGACGGGAAGGAAGAAAGTGTGAGAACACACTCTCCATGCAGTAGGCGTCAGTGTGAGGCTGCGGGGGAACGGAGCACAGGCCCCTCGGGGGTCAGGGACAGGCCAAGCCCATCATCCTTCCTCAGCATGGCCTCCTGTCTCTCAGAAATGACCTAGTACTGAGCAGCCAGTGTGTGTCCTTCCCTTATGCAGCCTCCTCACCTTTCCACGGATTCTTGGACACGGCAGCAGTACCTGTGTGTGCCAGCTGGACAGGCCACAAAAACTCTAGCCACTCTTCACAGATTCCCTTGAAAACAAGTACTTATTTGCTGTTTTTCTTAGTTCCCTAAAACCCTTAAGTTCTAGGGCAATGCTATCAAGAACTTGAGGTTTTGAAACAGCTCCGTATTTCCAGGTGAAGTCACTGCCAGCCCTTGGAGGGTGTCACAAACGCTACCAGTCTCTGAGCCTGCTGGTGGCCAAGCGTTTACTGTCAGCAGTCTGGGCAAGTTGTCTTCATGGTCTTAGGAGCCAGCAGATCTCAAGCTGCAGACACAGCTGCTTTACTGAACCTGAAAAGAAACAGCTGCTGGAAATGTGTGCTGTGATCCTGCACCACACACGAGGACATCCTGCTGCATTCCAGAGGAAAGGGCTGGGCAAGGCACCTGAAGGAAACAGCTTTGAGGCAATGAAGAAAAATCATGAAAATATCAGCTGCCAGGGATCTGAGCAGATGATCTGTGTGACATCCACATGTGAGCAGGTGACTGGAGAGATGCCCACATGTGAGCAGATGACCAAACAGAGAAATCCAGGTGTGAGCAGATGACTGAGTCGAAATCCATATGGCCACCAGGCTGTCCCCCTCCTGAGCTGGACTATGTCCGGCAGAGCTTCAGCGGGAAGTTCTCTGTGATGAGGTGGTCAGCATGAAGAAGGACCACCACATTAACCTCAAACTCTGCAGGAAGAGAGAGAGGATCACTCACACCAAGCACGGAAAACAGACTCTAACAGTGAGGCAATGTGCGGGTGCTGCTTCGGGTTCTGCTTCCATCCCCTTCAGGGTGTCCCTGTACTCTCTGTAGGACAGTGAGACCCCTACTAATTGTGACTGCCACTCTAATGTCTCCACTTTGTCTTGTCAGCATGTGGTGTAAGTCAGGCAGAGCGGCCCACACCTATAATTCCAGCACTTGAGAAGCTGAGCCAGGAGGAAGGCAGTGAGCTTGAGACCAGCCTGAGCTAGACTAAGTTCCAGTATGGCCTATGCTACACACAAGACCTAGTGGTTCTCTTGTTGTTTAACAAAGGAAAACAGCATACAGTTGGTTCAACTGCTGTTCCTTTGATATCAGCTACAGAGACATTTGCTGTAACACCTGGTTTGCATTCCTGCAGACAAGATTTCCTTTACTGGTTTCTAGTCTTTATGGGTAAAGATCCCAACACGGGATCAATGTGAAGAGGAAGCATCCCAGACAAAAGTGCCCCCTGTCCTTATCACTGGTATGGGCAAAGAGATCCTGGACCACACTTAGAAACTCCGCTCTGAGCACAATTTCGGTGTATATATACACTGGTCATACATAGACCCATATACATACACATACTTAAAAATAATAAACTTCGGGGCTGGAGAGATGGCTCAGAGGTTAAGAGCATTGCCTGCTCTTCCAAAGGTCCTGAGTTCAATTCCCAGCAACCACATGGTGGCTCACAACCATCTGTAATGGGGTCTGGTGCCCTCTTCTAGCCTGCAAACATACACACAGACAGAATATTGTATACATAACAAATAAATAAATATTTTAAAAAAAAATAATAAACTTCATTTAAAAAAGCAGGGTCAGTCACCAATGAGCACGTCTCCATCTGTGGAAGAAGACGGCAAGAGCTGAAAACAACGTGGTAGCAGTAGCCACGCTGACTTTATGGGTATGCAAAATGCTAAGGTTATAGTGTTATGGAAATTTGTACAAATGCTTCAGAAAGCCACTGAGAAGCCAGGCAGGGGATGGCAGGGTCAGGTTCCCTGTAGAGAGGCCCTGAAAGAGGTCACTGTGTGTGGCTCTACAGATATACCCAGAGCTGCAGTGGGAAGTCCCAGAATGCTGGAGAGGCAGGGACTGAGGAGCCTGCCAAGGAAAGCTGCAGGCAGGAACAGTTGGCCAAAGACAGCAGTTACATTTGCTGCGTGCACTACAACTGGATGGGAGGGGCTACCCGAAGCTCCTGGAGCCCGGGTGCTGCTGCCAAGAGCTAGACACGCTCACAAAAGGCTGAACCGCTAGGTGTTGGTATTGCTTTGCTTCAAGTGTTTTGTTTTGTTTTGTTTTTGCTTTGGCCCTGTTATTGCTCCCTTTCTGGATGGGAAAGTTTGGTCTACGCCTATGTTGAAAGTATGTGATTTATCTTTGGATCTTACAAGAATTCATTTACAGGTGAGTCTCAGAAGAAACTCTGGTCTTTAGACCCATGTTAAACTTAAGTCAAGGGACTTTTTAAGTTGAAACAAATGTTAAGATGATGTGTCTTGGTGTTGAGCTGTCAAAGAGCAGACTTGTGTTAATCTTTACTGTCACCGCGACTAGATCTGGAGTCGTGTGAGAGACACATCTCTTGGTATATCGTCAAGGGAATGTCTGGAGATGTTTAGCTGATGAGGGAAGCCCTGCCTTGAATATGGGTGGCACCAACCATGGGATGGGGCCTTGGCCTGAATAAAAAGAAAACAATTAAGAAAACAAACCTGATACCAGCATTCATTTCTGTCACCTCTGTCATGTGGTCCACCTAGATGAGAGCAAGCAGCCTCCGGTAGTGGCTTTTCTACCACAATGGACTAAACTCCCAAATTGTGACCCGCGCCAGCCCGCCTTCCTCTACTGTCTCTTGTCAGGTCGTCAGTCACACACGGCCTGTCTGACAACTGTAAAGGCTTCTTCTATAGACGTATGAGTTCTCTGTTTGGCTCAAGTCTGGCTTTGAAAGGGGGCTTTCAGTAGGCTTACTGTCCCGCATATGCAGCTTCTCACTGAAGCACTGTTGAGTAACCAAAGGCTAAGTGCTGTGGGCTGTGACCACTGCAAGCCTGTGTGTGCAAGGTGCATCCTCTCTGTGGACCCCTCAGGCCGGGCAGAGACTGCTTACCCACTTTGAAGTTAGTGGTCTCCAGTGTCGGGCATGTAAACAGTCTGGGGAAGACCATGTACAGAGGGACAGAAAGGCTTCTACAAATGTCCCCATCAGCGATCTGAATATTCTGAATCTCTGTGGCATCACGTGCATAGCCTTCTGCACACCCTGGGGAAAGAGGAAAACACCATAGGGTCAGGATACCATGACACCAAAGCAAACTGGTCAGCAAACCTTTCCAGCGCCAAGCAGCATCAAAACATTTACCCTCTTATCCAGTTCGTTCTTCAGGGCTAGGAGTTCCCTCCCTGCCACTTCTCAGTTCCTCAAACATCACCACAACTGGCTCAGGTCTGGGAACCCAATGCCCCAATTAGTATTCCAATGATTGTCTGCAAGTGGGGTCTTTGGGTGAGCAGGCCAAGAGGGTCATGTGGATCGCTTTGTTACAGAAATGAGGTCTCCAGCACATCTGCCATGATGTGATCTCTCCACCATGTTCCGTTCGCAGGACAGGAGAGCTGAGTGGCTGAGATTGCTTCCTGCTCTGGGAGAGCCCAGGTTCCTTTCCCAGTGCCCACATCACAGTTCCAACCAAATGACCCAATGCTCCTTCATAACCTCACATGTACCTACACACATCTGTCACAGACACACAGGAGCAGAGGACAGGCATCTGTTCAGCATCTGATGGCTTTATGCTACATTACAACATGGCAGAGGCCACCACATGGTGAAGTACAGCTAGCCAGCCTAGGAGAGCTCCATGTTAGAACACTACTCTACTGAGACAACCCCATAACCCGTCATGAGGACAGTCACCCCCAAATCTCTCACTCAGCATTGCTGTGCTAGGGACTAAGTTTCTAATACACAGCTTTTGGGAAGCACATTCAGAGCAAAAGAGGTATCTCTGTGGCCCAAAGCCATTCCAAGACATTTCTTAAGCACAGGCACATGGCCATCAATTTAGCAAAATGAGGCTGCCATACTCATTTGTGCTGCCATGTCCCTTACGTCACTGGTTTCCACACAGGATCTAGGATTTTCCTATGCCACTCCCAGGAATCAAGGGAGGCATTTTTAAAGCTGGGTTCCCCAATTCCCAGGAACCACCCCACACCTGCACTGGGATCACTGAGAACAGACCTTAGGCAGGGACACATCAGCGAGCACTGGGATCACTGAGAACAGACCTTAGGCAGGGACACATCAGCGAGCTCCGGGTGAACACGCTGAGCTTGAGAACACCTCTCTCCGAGAGCAGAGACTTCTGAGGGTGAGCCTCGTGTGTGATAACTACCCAGCCCTCCACCCCTCCAGTCCTGCCTGAGGGTGACAGCCAGGCTCACACACTGAGTCCAGAAGCCTTACCACAGGTCTCCACCCGGACCAGCTGCAGCTCGATGCTCCGGATAGCAGCATCCGAATGCTCCACCACCAGCTCTCCCGTCAGGGGCTGTGTGATGGCGCAGTTGGTGGAGTCCAGGTGGCCTCTAATGAGGAATTTGGGAAGTGAGGCCCTCTACAATAAAAAGAGATAAGAAGACATCAAGAACTGGAGGGAAAGCTGTTAGTGATTCTGATTGCTTTGGCACAAATAAAATCTGAAGATTAAGTTGGGTAAGTGTTCTAGAAACTGTGGAAACCTGTTGTACAAAACAAGAAGGAATAAAAAAATATTGTTACCATCTCTCAGTGGACATCAGCCTGACTCCTCAACCATCTATGCACACAAAGGGACAGACAGACAGGACTAGCTCTGGAGAGTCTACTCCCTGCCTACACGGACTGAAAAAGCCCCTTCACAGGCGACAAGACAGGAAATGTAAAAAGCCTGAGAAGGTGACGAGGGTGTTTAAGGACAACTACCACCAGGATGAAAAATAAATAAAAAGAAAAAAGAAAAAGATTTAAGAAAAAACAAGGTAGTCAGTTTTACAGTGTTCCCAATTAGGCGAGTTTGAAGCCAGTTATTTCAAGGATGCTGAAAGAGCGGTTTTCTCAATGCCTGATGAAAAGCTCTGGGACCTTTTCTCTGTAGACAGGAAGCTGGCCAAGGGGAACTGGCAGGGGCACTGAAAGGAAGGAGCTGGACAGTCACTGTAGGCCTCGCCTGTCACGTCCCCCTCTCCAGTAGATTCAACAGAAGCCACAAATTTAAAATCATTTACAATTTGTAATTGCTTATGAATATAATTTAAAATTTTCTGGTAGCCACACGAAAATTTTAACAGTATATCCAAAATGTTATTACTTCTGCATCTAATCAGTGAGAACTATGAATAATACAGCTCGGCGAGAAGACTGCTTGCCTGGCAGTGCATGGAGCTCTGGCTTCAATCTCTAGCATCACAAGCCAGGGACGGCAGCGCGTGCTTCATCCTAGCACTCACGTGGAGGCAGGAGGCCATCAGATTGGTTAAGTTCTCAATCACCAGTGATTCTTACCTGAGGAACCCTCTAGAAATGTGTGAGTGGAAGACAAAGTTTGAAAAGCAAATACGAGGGAAATAAGCCGTCTGTTCAGAAAATCGGTAACAGCACCCGTCTAGGCAGCTTATGACAATGCGACTTCCGGTGCTGCTCTCAAGAGTCTTCCAGACGTGTGTTCCCTCCTGCAGTGACGGTGGAAGATGTACATCCCTGCACTACTCTTGAGTCTCAGCTCCGGCCTGCCCACATTTTCTGTATACTTCTTCTTCTTCCCCCCAAATTCCTTTTTTTTTCACTTAGAAAAGAAAAACCGCCAGTGATACTTTATAAACAACTATGTGTTATACAAGGTATTTAAAATAAAGCATGTGCTTGATGGGGATGGCGTACATCTTTAATCCCAGCAGTTGGGAGGCAGAGGCAGGCGGATCTCTGGTTTGAGGCCAGCCTGGTCTACAGAGCGAGTTCTAGGACTGTTACACAGAGAAACCCTGTCTCAAAAAACCACGATAAACAAATAAATAGGAATAAAGCATGCGTTTCTCATTTTCCAATAGTAAGCATAAAGGTTTCTGTTATGACAGTGCTCACCTAGAACAGATAAAAGGCCAGAAGAAAGGCCACCTACCACACCTGCCACTCCCTGAACACACTTGACAGAATTCAGTGCACATTGACACTCAGGAGAACAGTCTCACCAGGGTCGGTGCAGACAATCTTATTAATAAATCTACACCAAAGATCCTCAAGTACAGACCAGCAGCCGGTACTCGAAGAGCATAAACGCAAGGAGCCTGGGAGGGGCGAGGGCGCTGTGTCTGCAGCTGAAGGGGACGTGGAGGGTCAAAGAAAAGACTTCACATGGGGCAGAGCAGGTAGGGCACGGGAACCTGCCTGGCCCCAGGACATGATGGCTACTTCCTTCCAGAACCTTCTGAAAGGGCTCCCTATGACACACCCTTGCAAAGAATGACATCAGTCATGACTCCAGTGTCCCAAATCTCCCAGACATGCCTTCAGCCCAGTTGTGACAATGAGCAAAATGCAGACTTGAGTAAAGAGCTGCAGAGCACACCACTACAGCTGCAGAGCACACTACTACAGCTGTGGAGCATACTACTACAGCTGCAGAGCACACAGCTGCAGAGCACACCACTACAGCTGCGGAGCACACAGCTGCAGAGGACACCACTACAGCTGCGGAGCACACAGCTGCAGAGGACACCACTACAGCTGCGGAGCACACAGCTGCAGAGGACACCACTACAGCTGCAGAGGACACAGCTGCAGAGGACACCACTACAGCTGCAGAGGACACCACTACAGCTGCAGGGCACACCGCTACAGCTACAGGGCACACCGCTACAGCTGCAGAGGACACCACTACAGCTGCAGAGGACACCACTACAGCTGCAGAGGACACCACTACAGCTGCACAGTATACTACTAGCTGTGAGATAGAACCATTTATTAAGTCAAAAAGCAGGAAATTTTCCAGTAGTGGAGCAAAGTGCTAACCCAAGAAGGCTGGCCACAGTAACCACCGCCTGGTGCAGGTGACCCAGCAGGTTTGCTGGGAGCTGCTACCAAGATGCAAGCATCCTTGGTTCTCATGCTGGTCTTGTGTTCTTGCTGTCCACCCTCACGAACAGTTCTGTCTGGTCGCCACTGAGAGACTGCAAAGCCTCTGTAGGGGATGAGAAGCCAGGGCCCCCTGCAGGCCCCTCACACCAGGAAAACAGGGAAGCATGACACTCAGGTGCACAGGCAGGAACAGACCATCCAGGTGCAGCGATGCAGGCCTGCAATCGGGAAGATGGCTGGGAAGGCTGGCCTGTGCAATCCAGTCAGACGTCACCCTTTCATGAACATGAGATCATCATGTGAGGAGTCTAGTCTAAGTGCTGTCTTTTTCTTCCAGAGTAATTACTGAGTTCAATATGAAACCAATCTGAGAACACCCCGTGGGTACAAACAGCATCAGAAGCCTGTTACCGACAACTCCATTCTCAACTAAAGAACAACTGGGCAGTTAAGTGGTCACTGGGTCAAGCTACCAGGAAAGCCACAACACACAAGTAGGAGTAAGGAAGGAGTACCTCTTTGACGTTCTGCAGGGTTTCTGGGGTGATGGTGAAGTCAACAGGACTTGGGGTCAGCTTCCCCTTCTGAGGCTGAAATGGAGGTAAAACCATAATCAGCGGGAGAGGACCCATGGGTGGAGGGAGCAGTTTTTCCCTTCTGACTCAAATGAACGGCAGCACAGGAAACTAACTGGAGGGATCTGACTCCAGACACACCAGGTCCACCCACAAAGTACAGCTCGTCTGTACCGCCAGGGTCCAGGTGTCTACTGGGAGTCAGACCTCGGGGACAGAGGTAAAGATGGCAGACAGGAACTGCTGCCACCTCACACACGAGGAAAGCAAGGTACACGGAGCTCAAGGACTTGCTTGTTATGTGCAGATCTGAGCCAGACTGGCCAGTGCTGGCTACCTAGAAGGAGCATTTTAGAATCCACTCACAGGGTCAGGCTACACGGAAGCCTGCCTGGCACCACACCCACAGGCCAGGATCCAAAAGGCCAGCAAGACCCAAGAACCAGCTGGAGAGAGGGTGCCAGTGAGTACGCCAAGTCCACTCACTTCCCAGGCCTGTTCCAGAGTGCACAGCTCAGCGTGTCCAGCACATGCTCTCTAGTCAGTGTTCTTCTTGCTGCCCGACAGTAACCCTGAACTTGTGAACCATGTGCTAGGGTAAACTGTACCCTGGATGAAGCCTCCCACTATCTATCCATCGATCGACTGACCTACCTACACACCTACCTACCTACCTATTTTTGAAGCAGTCTCTCTACATAGCCCTGTCTTGGAACTCATTCTATAAACCAGGCTGGCCTTGAACTCACAAAGGTCTGCCTATCTTTGCCTCCTGAGTTCTGGGATTAAAGGTGCATGCTACCACACCCAGCCTTTTAAAGGTTTTCTGAGACAGGATCTCATCGTCTGTAAACAGCACAGGGTGGCTTTGAGCATACCATGTAGCCCAGGCTGACACTGAATTCCTGGTGAGCATCCTGCCCTCTGCACACTAGAATTACAAATGTGAGCTACCATGCTTGACTAACATCTAATTCTTGAAGGTCCTGTGGTAACAGAATCCCATGAGCAGAGATGGGCCTTGGAGAACACATTCACTGGGCCTGAGCATCTTAGGAGGCTCTGCAGTCACGCGCTTCAGAGAGGCCTGGGCTCAGGGCGGAGTTAGGACTCACTGTTCTTCACAAAATGTGAAGCTTTCCTTGTCGCTGCAAGTTTGTTTTAGGACATAAAGCCCAAAACACTTTCAAGTAGATTATTTAAAGGACCTTGACAGAAAATAACAGAGCCAACTTTTAAAACATGTAGTTTTCAAAAGAAAAATAATTTAATCATATTTTACATAAATCAGGAGCTGTACCACAACACTGAGAGTCCTGAAAATGCTACCCAAATAAAGAATGCAAATGAGGGCCTTGGTGACGACTCTGCTAACACCATGCACCAGCGACTCCAATCCTGCACTGGGACTCACTTCCTGAACATCCCAAGGACGTCACGTCATAGTGTGACACAAAGTGCAAATGCTCCTTGACTGTCGACCCTCACCAGATGCCCTGCCAAAGTCCCTGCTCATTGGGGTGCAGCGCCACAGCAGGGTCCACTGGGCTCACCCAGCACTAACATGGTGACGGTATACTAAGTAGCCTGCTCTATATGCTCATGAGCTGCCATGGGCACTACACCCCTGCCCTGCCCCACACAGCTCCCCCAGAGGTTTGCAGCAGGCCCTCCCAGCACCCCGAAGGCCTCAGAGCAAGTCCCTGTGGTAGCTCTGGCTGATACTGCTCGGCAACCCAGCTGTGCTACCCCAGGCAACTCTCCAGTCCAGACTTTCTCCCAGGTCCCTCGCAAGCATTGTAACTGAGTCACAGAACCCCCTGGACACTCCAGTCTGATGGGGGGGCAGCAGGATGGTGAGGAGACAAACTGGCCGCTGGCCAGGGCTGAGAGTGCTCCTCCCAGGGGACACAGGCCAGCATGTGGCTGCCTCTGTGAGGCCAGACCTAGTGTGGCCTGAGATACTGTGCTGAGGACGCATCCATCACCACGTGTCATACTGTTACTGCTGACTCCGTGTGATCATGGAGGGCAGTGGTCCTCAACCTCCTAATGCTGCAACCCTTTAATACAATTCTTCATTTTCTGGTTATCCCCAACCATAGTTATTTTCATTGCTACTTCATAACTAATATTGTTACTGTTATGAATTGTAATGTAAATATCTGTGTTTTCCAACATTCTTAGGTGACCCCTGTGAAAGGGTTGTTCAATCTCCAAAGAGGTCACAACCCACAACAGACTGTGAGCCACTGATGCAGGCTATGGGGACTTGTTAGAACTACCCCAAGTGGCTGCAGCAGTGGTGGTATGGGACTGGCTACCCAAGATGGCATGGAAAGGCATTAAAAAACTTGTTACTGCAGAATATAGGCCAAAACTGTGGTCATCAGAAAGAGACAGGCCTGCACAGTCCCTGTGTTCTCACAGGGCACAGCAAGACAGCAATTTGTCTGTGTGTCACTACAACCGAGGGCCAAAGTGGATGTCTCCTTTGCAGGATTAACAGTATGCCTACTGCGTGATGTAGAATGATGTTTCCCAAGGGGAGCTGCAGACCCAGAAGGTGGGCGTTACTGGGCTACAGAAATAGTGCCCAGCCTGGGGCTTATGTCACATCAGGTGCTTGTGCCCCGGGCAGACCCAGCTTACTGGCTTGTGAACAGGTGCTAGCCCACAGCTCACAGGAGAGTCTAGGATCCCGAGGTGAAGCTTACAGCAGAGTGAACGATGAATTCACAGGTCTTGGTCAGGTCCTTGGCCAACAGGGACCTCCGCATGTCACAGCGCAGTGTGTACTAGAAGAGAGGCAGGAGAGACAAACGCCACCTCAGTAGATACAACACACAAAGTGACAAACAGTCAACCTCTTTTAAGGACACAGTGACCAGTGGATGTGTTTCACACAGTCGATGTACACGGGAGAAACTAATGTGCAAAATAAGGGCATGTCTAAGGAAAGCACGCACAGCCGTTCCCAGGCAGGGTGTGGAAGGGGAGAGCAGACAGCAGAGCTCCGGGGCTGGAAGGCTCATGCAGCTGGCTGTCCACCTCCCGTGTGAGCCCAGACAAACCACACCCGAGCTGCAGCTTCCTCTGCAGCCCGTGGACAGAGGTTGGCCTGTGACGGGGTCCACCACTGTGCACTAGGTGTGTGGCACCAGAGCTAGTTTCAGCCACTGTCCTGAGGAGTTTTTCATTTACCAACAAGAGGCCATGATGACAGCAGGAAAATAAAACAAAAAACCAAACAGACTCAAGGAAATCCTACAAACTATTTCTATGTAGTTAACGAAGAAATAAAGATGGTATTTTTAACATTTAAATCCACAGAGAAACAGAAGTGAGAGAGCTGTGGTTAAGCTCCATGCCCCCAGCCGTCCTCCCAGCCCTGTCCATCACTCTCCAGACGTCAGGAGAGAGGGGCACAGAAGACACTGGCTTTGCCTTGGCTTGTCCATTTTGTGGAGGGTGTGGTGGTTTTTCTGAGCTCGTCACTGCTAGAGTTCCTGTTGTGAGGATGCTGTCTCCCTCAGGAACTGGCCTCTAAGCTTACTTGGTTGTGGCACAGGAACTGTGACCATAAATCCCTGGTCATAAGCTGAGGCAGCTCAGAAACCACCCTAGAGCTTGACATTAGGAAAAAACTTCAGGAGTCAGGGTGTGGCCAACTCACTTGCTTAATATGTGCATAGCTCTGTTGGACAGCCTGGAAGTGAGTTCAAGGCCAGCCTGGTCTACAGAGTGAGTTCCAGGACTGGTTCCATAGCTACTGGGAAACCCTGTCTCCAAACAACAAACAAACAAAAAAATACACAGCCCTAGGTTCCATTCTCAGCATCAGAAATTAGACCCCAGATCCTCATAAACTTCTGTTTAATCAACTTACCTGTTCCGTTGCTCTAATCACATAGGAAAAACTTTTGAATTGTGTCAAAAATAATTTTCATACCTAGGAATAGCTAAGAATCTTATAAGACACTACATTCTTACAAACAACCTTTCCACATGAGATAGGTTCCTGTATATCTGAGGTACTACAAGGGAGATAAAGCATTTTTATAAGAATCATTTCTTACATGCAAGGATCTAAAAATTTATGTGTATGTGTGGTATGCATATTCTCTAGTGAGACTGCAATCTGTTCTTCCCAAACCAGACAAGCTTACAGAGGAACGCGCACACACACACACACACACAAAACCCACTTCTGGACAGCATATGCACTGATGAGCCACCCTCTCTCTGGCTTAGCTCTCTGATTCTTTTCCCAGTCTGGCCTCTACCACCTCCCTCAATAGTTCATAAGTGCTAGGTAAAGCCATAACCATTTGAGGGACTTGAGGAAAGAATCCTCTTTTACTGAGCCATGGGTCCAGAAGACAGAAGCTACACCTGTCCAATGGTAGCCAGCTTTGCTCTAACAAGGGACAAAGCCAGCACACAAGAAAGCCTAGCTCACACATTCTGGGGCCCACACTCCTGGAACCCTGATGAAGTTAAGTTTGCTCTACAAACTGTGAAAGGAAGGCACCACCACAGGCACCCACTTCGGTCACTATACATCAAGTGTGAGACCAATCACTTGTAAATCAATGAATCCTGTGATCTGCTGGGGGACAGCAAGGTGAAACAAAAAGGCTAACTTCCATGCCATGCTCTAGAAGGGGTCAAGGCCTCCCTCATCTGCTGTCTCAATTAACTACAGTACTGATATACAAGCTGTTACACGGGGGATGGAGAGATGGCTCAGTGGTTAAAAGCACTTGCTACTCCTGTAGAGGACCTGGATTTGATCCCAGTGTCCACATAGTGGCTTAAAACCATCCCTATTTAACTCCAGTTCCAGTTTGAAATCTGGTCACTGCATGCATATGGGGCAGACACACATGCAGAGAAACACCCAGACATGAAATAAACGTTTTAAAAGAGTTGTTACTAGTGTATGCCCCAGCACTCCAGAGAGTGCAAATGGTGCTCTGTGAGCTCTAGGACAGCCAGGGCAATTACACAGAGAAACCCTGTCTCGACAGCCAAACCAAACGAAAACAAAGGAGTTGTTGTAAGGCTACTATAAGGACAGCCGTCAACTCATGTGTTTAGCACTCCGCAGATGCTCACTGAGCGACACTCTGTGTGACAGGACTGTGCCCAGCTCTTCATGTCATTCTCTCACTAACCTAGCAGCCAAGTCGGGTAGGCTGCTGGAGGAGGCTCAACAGAGGTGGGATTTGAATTGACCCCGCCCACTACAAAACCTACACCAAATCCTTGTACAGTGTGATCAGGCTTCAGCAATGTTATCAAAGGAGATACAAGGCTGGATTTTTTTTTTTTAAGGTTTAAAATGCTGTGTTGTGTGTGGGTGTCTTTATGTGGATATATGCATGTGACAGAAGTTGCTCACGGGGTCCAGAGCATGGGATTTCCCTGGAGCTACAGTTATAGGTGGCTGTGAACTGCCCACTGTGAGTGCTAGGAACTGAACTCTGGCCCTCTGCAGGAACAGTAAGTACTTTTAACTCTGAACCATCTCTCCAAGACCGCCCCCCTCACACGCATGTACAGTATTTTTAACTGTAAAAAAGGAGACTAGAGTTTTTGTTTGTTTGTTGTGAGACAGGATTTCTCTGTGTAGCCCTGGCTGTCCTGAAATTCACTCTGTAGATGAGGTTGGCTTTGAACTCACAGAGATTCACCTGCCTCTGCCTCCGGAGTGCTGGGATTAAAGATGTGCACCACCACTCCCTGGCTGAGCCTAGAATTTTTATAAATTCATTCTATGAGATTCCAGCAGACATGGTGGTGCTACTCTGAGCTGTAATATAAAATTCTGTCAGTACGGTCACAAGAGCAGAACTCAGTCAGAAGTAACTAGAAGCCTTGACAAGTCAGGAATTTAAAGTAGGTTATCATTTAAACCCTTTATTTTGTCTTATGATTTTTACATTATGGTGCTACAATGCAGCTCAGATTATAAATGAAAAAGTTACTTATGTCTATATAATTTGAGGGAGTATGAGAACTTAACAGTAAAGCTTTTGCCAGGCAGTGGTGGTGCATGCATTTAATCCCAGCATTAAAGGGATGCAGAGAGGCAAGCGGATCTCAGTTTTTAAAATTAGGTATATGTGTGGTATGTGTCTCTGGGTAAATACACAGGCATTTAGGTGCCCACAGAGACCTGAGGCATGAGATCATCCTGAATTCCAATCCAGGCAGTTGTGAGAAGTACCCAGTCTTAACTGCTGGGACCTCTTTCCAGCACCATTTTTGTTTTTTAGATTTATTTTATGTATGTATATGTATTCATGTGTTAGCATTTGTGTGTGTGTGTGTTATTGTTTGAAACAGGTATATAAGAAAAACTGAGAACATTTTCTTGACAGAAAGGTAGCTTTTGCAGTACAGTACACCATCCTATGTCATTCACCTTGACAATACAGTACACCA